ATTTTGGTAAGCGTAATTTGATAATTTGGGGCCCGTGGCATTTTCCCACCACCTCCGCGGAAAACATCCAAGCATAAATCGGAATATTTCGTTTTAAATACAGTTTTTTTCGGTCTTTTTTGAAAAAATGCCCATGGGCCCCCAAGAAAGCTTCTAGTGCCAACCCTACAGCAATAAGGGTGAGAATTCCAATAGAGATGAAGAAAGAGATCATTGATAAGTAGAAAGTGGAGTGCGTATCGCCGACCGGGTTTCAGGTTGTACAAGAAACCCCAATCAACCATCGCTACAATTGTGGGCACCAGAAAGGCAATCAAGAAGCTGTTCTTGCCAAAGGTTTAACTGTGTTTTCGAAACAAAGATCGCAAGGGGATGGAAGATGTTGAGAGACTCTTTTTGGTGGGGGATAAATGAAAAACAGTAGCAGGAGTTTAGCGTCTCTCAAGCGATCATAAGCGAAAAGCTAGGAAGTTGCATGAGGATTTAATTAAAAAAATGCCTGCAACTAGTGAGATGTGATGAATTTAAGGCCAGCAAAGGTTGGTTTGAGAGATTTAAGAAGCGTAGTGGCATACATAGTGTGATAAGGCATGGTGAGGCTGCCAGTTCGACCACAAAGCGGCTGAAAAATATTGCATGAATTCAAGGAGTACATAGAGACTGAAGGACTGAAACCTGAACAAGTGTTTTAATTGTGATGAAACAGGCCTGTTTTGGAAGAAAATGCCAAGCAGGACCTACATTACTCAGGAGGAAAAAGGCACTCCCAGGACATAAGCCTATGAAAGACAGGCTTACTTTGTTGATGTGTTCCAATGCTACTGGTGATTGCAAAGTTAAGCCTTTATTAGTGAAACACTCTGAAACTCCCAGAGCGTTCAGGCAAAAGAATGTCCTCAAGGAGAATTTGTGTGTGCTGTGGAGGGCAAACAGAAAGGGCAGGGGTCACTAGGGACTTTTTCTATGACTGGTTACACCATGCTTTGCCCCCAATGTGAAAGATTACCTAACTGGGAAAAAAAATTAGAAAATTAAGTGCCTCCTGGTGTTAGACAATGCCCCTGGTCATCCTAAAAGACGTGGCAGAGCGACTTTATGGGGGCATGAAATTCATTAACATCAAGTTTTGCCCCCTAATACCACTCCCCTCCTGCAGCCCCTGGACCACAGGTTATTGCAACTTCAAAAAACTGTACACAAAAGCTCTGTTTGAAAGGTGCTTTGTAGTGACCTCAGAAACTCAACTGACTCTAAGAGAGTTTTTGGAGAGAGCACTTTAATATCCCAATTGTGTAAACCTTATAGTTAAGGCTTGGGAGGGAGTGACTAAGAAGACCTTGAACTCTGCTTGGAAGAAACTGTTTGGGCCAGAATGGTAGACCCAAAAGGGATTTTGAAGGGTTTGAGGCTAACCCTGGAGGATTTAAAGCCAGTTGAGGAATCCATTGGGGGCATTGGGAAAAGTCCTTGGGGTTGGAGGTTAGTGGGGAGGATGTGGAAGGTTGGTGGAGGAGGACAATGAAGAACTAACCACTGATGAGCTGATAGATCAACTTCAACAGCAAGAGGCCAGACCTGAGGAAACTGGTTCAGAGGAGGGAGAGAGAAATTGAAGAAGTTGCCTACTACAAAAAATTAAGGAAATGTGGCAAAGTGGCTTGAATGCAAACCTTTTTTGATAAAATCACCCTCACACAGCTATTGCAAGCCGTGTTGGCAACCTGTACACTGACAATGTTGTGGAACCACTTTAGGAAAGTCATAAAGGAACGAAGGTACAGGCCACATGGACAGATATGTTTGTGCGAAAGAATCCAGTGACTGTCTGAAGCTGGTCCGAGTGGTTCATTAAAAAGAGAAGGGAAGTAACCCCCAGAAAAGGACTCGACACCTCAATCTTAATGGAAGGGGGATTCCCCTTCTAAACACTAACACTCTCTCTCCCCTCCTCACATCCATCAATCATCAACCAGATCTCCAATAATAAAGTAAGTGTTCATGTAAGTGTGCATCCTTGTTTTCAGATTTGTGTGTATTAACAAATTAACTTTTCTATGTGGTAAAAAAATTTTGTTGTTTCATACTTTTTGGTGACTTGCTCGATTAATTTTGATATCCATTAGTTCTGTTATGGGAAAATTCATTCGCATACCGATTATTTCGCATAACAAGTGACCCTCCTTGCGACGGATCAAATCGGTATGCGGGGTCCACTGTATTGAGACATAGAAAATGAGGTTTTCTTCTGTCAGCTAGTGCTGGGTCCCGCAGGTCTCTGGCCAGTTCCACCTATTGTGCTGTGCTAACAGAAACATGCCGAGACCATCAACCGCACTATGCATCAGTGTTTCATTTAAAACTTACAGTACATGTATAACTGCAAATCAAAAAAAACACAGCTTTATTTCAAGCATTAATACAACCTTTTTTTAACACGGTAATTACATAGGTTGTTACGTACTTATAACCTGCTTCTCACTTATGACAGAGATCCGTTTCCTAAGATTGCATTGGTAAATGAATTTGTCGCAACTGAGGAGCACACTATAATGGTAGTGGGTTTGTGTCACCTTTGCACCATTGATATAATTTCGGGTAATATGTATTCTTTTTAGACGTATTTTTTTATATTTGGCTATGATGCAATTTATTGTGATGTATTTTAATTTTGTATGTATACATTAACATATTTTGTAATTTTACTTTACAGAGCATACATATTTAACTTTATAGTGCATTACCATATTTTAACTTCACAAGTGCATACATATTTATTAACTTTATATGCATACATATTTTAACTTTATTATAGTTCAAACATATTTTAACTTTATAGTTCATACAAATTTAACTTATAGTTTCATACATCTTTTAACTTTGAGTTCATACATATTTTAACTTATTGTGCAAACATATTTATCTTTATAGTGCATACATATTTTAACTTTACAGTGGCATACAGAATTTTAACTTTACAAGTGCATACATATTTAACTTTAGCAGTGCAATACATATTTTAAACTATATATAGTTCATACATATTTTAAACTTTACTAGTTCTTACATATTTTAACTTTATAGTTCATACATATTTTAACTTTATAGTTCATACATATTTTAACTTTATAGTTCATACATATTTTAACTTTATAGTGCATACATATTTTAACTTTACAGTGCATACATATTTTAACTTTATAGTTCATACATATTTTAACTTTATAGTTCATACATATTTTAACTTTATAGTTCATACATATTTTAAACTTACGAGGTGACCGACACATACTCTTATAACTTTACACGTTCATACATATTTTAACTTTAGAGTTCATACATATTAGTTACTTTATAGTGTCAATCATATTTTAACTTTACAGTGCATAACATATTTTAACTTTACAGTGCATACATATTTTAACTTTACAGTGCATACATATTTTAACTTTACAGTGCATACATATTTTAACTTTACAGTGCATACATATTTTAACTTTACAGTGCATACACACCTTTTAAACTTTGCAGCATAGTGAACCTGGATCTGGCAGCTGAAGTTTTCTCATATGAACCACTTGCTGATGTTCGAGACCTTATTCAAGTGGATGATGTTATGCAAACTGACGACTTGAACTTTGGTCCAAATGGTGGATTAGTCTTCTGTATGGAATACCTCATACAACCTTGACGGACTTGATTGGTTGAAGGTAAAAATAGTTTTTCTATATGTGTCCCAACAGAGCTGGATGACCTACAGATTTAGCACTTAATTTGATTATTATAATAAGCTGTGTGTGTGTCCCACCAAGATTAGGTGACCCCAAAGAAGGAAACTTATTCACTATCGCTCATGCAGTAGTTGTCTTGCCAAAAATGTGTAAACATCACTGTTCAGATGACCCTCTGAACTTCTGTTTTGAAATGTTTTAATTAAATTATTGGAAAATGAATTATTTCTTAGGTTTCAAATTGTTACATGACCAACACTGTGAAATTTCAATTTGTGAAGGTGGCTGTTGAATGAGTGATGGTGCATGCTTCTTCCTCTGGGTTGCCCTGCCTTGATGAGAAACAGCCAGTGTGAACAAAAGTAAAAAAATAAAGCTGTAGTGGTTATATGGCAAGTTAGTGCAGGAGTGGAGCAAGATAGTGGGTAGTGTGGGGGTGGGGTGCAGGGGCAATTTTTTTTTTTCAACAAGTCGGCCATCTCCCATTGAGGCAGGGTGACCCAAAAAAAAGACTTTCATTATCATTCAACACTTTCACCTCACTCATAAATAATCACTGTCTTTCCAGAGGCACTCAGGGGCAATACCTTCCTCTAATAGTAACATTAGACCTAAATTAAGAACATAAGAACATAAGAAAGGAGAAACACTGCAGCAGGCCTGTTGGCCCATACTAGGCAGGTCCTTCACAGATCCATCCCACTAATAGAATATTTGCCCTCATAAGAACATAAGATCATAAGAAATAAGGAACACTGCAACAGGTCTACTGGTCTTTGTGAGGCAGCTCCAATACTCCCCACTGGCTTAAGCCAATGCCTTGACCTAGTGAGGTCAGACACATCACTTAAGGGATTAGCACTGTGTCCGACCTAGTAGCTAGTCAGGTCCATTTTACACCCTCTCACACCCACCCATAAGACCATAAGAACATAAGAAAGAAGGAACACTGCACCAGGCCTACTGACCCATGCGGAGCAGGTCCATGTCCCCCCCCTCGAATTAGACCAATGACCCCCAGATTATCCCAATGACCCACCCAGTCTGGTCATCCCCACTCAAGGATGGAGCACTGTACCAGACCCAGCAGCACAAGCTAGTCAGGTCCAACTCACACCCACCCACACCCACTCATGTATTTATCTAACCTATTTTTAAAACTACACAACGTTTTAGCCTCAATAACTGTACTCGGCAGCTTGTTCCACTCATCCACAACTCTATTACCAAACCAGTGCTTTCCTATATCCTTCCTGAATCTGAATTTTTCCAACTTGAAACCATTGCTACGAGTCCTAGGACGTCTTGGCTGGAAATTTTCAGCACACTATTTACATCCCCTTTATTTATTCCTGCTTTCCATTTATACACCTTGATCATATCCTCCCTAATTCTACGCCTTTCGAGAGAGTGCAGATTCAGGGCCCTCAGTCTATCCTCATAGGGAAGATTTCTGATACATGGGATCATCTTTGTCATCCTCCTTTGTACGTTTTCCAGAGCATTTATATCCATTCTGTAATACGGTGACCAGAACTGAGCAGCATAGTCTAAATGAGGCCTAACCAAGGATGTATAGAGTTGAAGAACAACCTGAGGACATCTATTATTTATACTTCTAGATATGAAGCCAAGAATTCTGTTAGCTTTATTGCGAACACTAATGCACTGTTGCCTTTGTTTTAGATTACTGCTAACCAGAACTCCTAAATCCTTTTTGCAATCGGTAGTATGTCCTCATTAGAATGAATTGGACGGCTTATTTTGGTGTCATCAGCAAATTTGCTAATGTCGCTATTTATTCCCTCATCTATGTCGTTTATATAAATTGTGAACAACAACGGGCCCAACACTGACCCCCGAGGAACACCGCTTGTGATGTGCCCCCATTCTGATTTCTCCCCATTTATGCAAACTCTCTGCTGTTTATTTGTCAGCCATGCCTCTACCCAGGAAAAAATTTCTCCTCCTATTCCGTGTGCCCTAAGTTTCCTCAATAGCCTCTGGTGTGGAACTCTATCGAAAGCCTTACTGAAGTGCATATACACAATATCATATTCATTACCAAGATCTACCTCCTCAAACACCTTAGTGAAAAAAGTTAGTAAATTTGTAAGACAGGAACGCCCCTTTGTAAAACCGTGTTGAGATTCATTAATCAATCTGTGCCTGTCAAGATGGCTATGTATTGCTTCGGCAATTATTGATTCCATAAATTTTCCCACTATGGAGGTAAGGCTTATTGGTCTATAGTTCGAAGCCAAGGACCTGTCACCTGCCTTGTAAATAGGTATTACATTTGCCATTTTCCACTTATCAGGCACTATGCCAGTTTGTAGTGATATGTTAAAAAGATTAGCCAAAGGTATGCTAAGTTCTCTTTACTTTCCCTTTAACACCCTTGCAAACAGTTCATCAGGACCTGGGGATTTGTTAGGTTTTAGTTTCTCTTTTGTCTGAGGACCATGTCACTAGTTACCGCAATCGTACATAGTTTATTATCATCCTGTTCTACGTAATTATTATTTCAGGAATATCGCTAGTATTTTCCTGAGTGAAAACTGAGAGGAAGTAGGTATTTAGATTTCACCACATATCGTTATCACTGTCATGATTTGACCAGAGTTACTCTTAAGTGGGCCAATCTTGCCCCTAATCTTACTTCTGTATACCTGAAAGAACCCTTTTGGGTTAGTCTTTGAATCCCTTGCGACCTTAGCCTCATAATCCCTTTTTGCTTTTCTTATTCCTTTTTTTATTTCTCTCTTTAATTGAATATATTGATTTCTTAACTGCCCATCCCCTCTTTTGATACGCCTATATATGCCTCTCTTTTGACCAATGAGGTGTTTTAATCTATTGTTTATCCATTTGGGATCATTTTTGTTAGATCTAATTTCCCTACTTGGAATAAAAGTTGTCTGGGCAGCTAGAACTATGCTCTGAAAAACATCATATTGGCACCCAAGATCACCTACCTGACCCGTAGTCAGGACATCCTAATTTAGCCCACCCAAGTAATTTTTGAGTCCCATGAAGTCGGCCAAGCGAAAATCTGGGACAGAGATTTGATTGCAGTTATCTGTGTAATTCCATGATATATTGAAACTAAGCGATTTGTGATCACTTTCCCCAAGCTCGTCATTAACCTCAAGATTATTAATTAGTGAATCTTTGTTGGCAAGAACCAAGTCAAGCAGATTGTTTCCTCTAGTTGGTTCTGTCATAACCTGTTCTAAAAAACAATCCTGAACCGTATCAAGAAAGTCACTAGACTCAAGATTTCCTGTCATATTGTTCCATTCAATTTGTCTAAAGTTAAAATCTCCCATTATCACAACATTTTCATATCTAGATGCCTTATGAATTTCGTCCCATAACAGCTATAAATCACACCTAAAATTAATTTGTCACGTCCCTCGAGAAACTGTAGCCAAACCGATTCTGTGTTCAATGTTTCTAATCTTATACAGTGGACCCCCGGTTAACGAACTTTTTTCATTCCAGTAGTATGTTCAGGTGCCAGTACTGACCGAATTTTTTCCCATAAGGAATATTGTGAAGTAGATTAGTCAATTTCAGACCCCCAAACATACACGTACAAACGCACTTACATAAATACACTTACATAATTGGTCGCATTTGGAGGTGATCGTTATGCGGGGGTCCACTGTATCATGTTTAAGACAACAATTTAAATTTTCTCTGACATACATCGCCACACCACCACCCTTCCTGTTGACCCTATCAGTGTGGAATAGTTTATAACCCTGTATGTTGCATTCAGAAGGCATTTCTCTATCTTTCAGGTTGAACCAGGTCTCTGTTATACCAATAATATCTATATTACCTACACTTGCAAGTAATTTTAGCTCATCTATCTTATTTCTTAGACTCCTACTATTTGTATAGTAAACCTTAAGGGAGCTAGTCACTCGTTGCCCTCTACTATCTCTCTTTGTTTGTTGATCAGTTGATTTGCCATTACTAGCAACTTTATTTTGAATATTGTCTTTTAAACATATCCCTGAGGTATCCCGGTAATAGCTGCTGTTTTTAACCCTAATGCTGCAGCCTGATTGTTTCCCACAAACACCCATACCTCTATAATCTATCAGTTTAAATTCCTAGACAAGTCATCAATTACACTCTCAATTGAATTGGTTAATGCAACCACTCCATCCCCAGAGAGATGAACCCCATCCCTTGCATACATATCATGTTTACTAAAGAATAGGTCCCAGTTATCAATGAATGGGATTGCAAGTTCCTTGCAGTACCTGTCTAGCCAGCGATTTATACCAATTGCCCTAGACATCCATTCATTGCCCACTCCCTTTCTAGGCAAGATGCTACATATGACTGGGATCCCTCCCTTAGACCTGACTACTTCTATGGCTGACCTATACTTATCCAGCAGCTCCTCTCTCCTGCCCTTCCCAGTGTCATTACCCCCAGCACTAAGACAGATAATGGGCTTGTTCCCATTACCTGCATAATATCCAATCTGCTGACTATGTCACCAACACCAGCTCCAGGAAGGCACACTCTTTGTCTGACCTTTCTGTCTCTGTTACAAAATGCACGGTCCATATATCTTACCTGAGAACCGCCTACTATTAAAATATTCTTACCTTGATTAGCAGGGGAATCAGTGGTACCTTCAACCTCACTAACCACTTAAGTACACTCGTCTTGGAGAACAGAGAATCGATTTCCTACCTTCACATCTTCTCTATTAACTCTCCTCATCTTCCTTCTTCCTGAACTGTGAACCACTTGCCACTTAAAGCGGCTGCCACTATCACTGCTAGTGACCATTCCTTCCTTACCAGCCAAATCCTTCTCACACTCACTCCCAAACTCATCTATGCGAAGCTTCAGCTTCATATTTTCCTCCTGAAGAAGTAGAATCTCCTTCTTCAACACATGAACCTGGGATTCTAAAGCACTACAACAAGCCATGGTATGG